CACCCCCTGCCCCCCAGGAAAGACGGGACTATGGGTTTGGCTGTAGAGTTTATTAGGACAGAGCAGCTGCAGGTGGCCTCCCAGGGCTGGCGGCCCAGGGAGGCCGGGTGAGCGGGGCTCCAAGCATCCCCTTGGGGACGGCGGCTCCCCTAGGTCAGCTCCTGTGACAGGGAAGGGCAAGGCCTCAGGGCGCCATCCGAACCCGGGGGCACCAGGCAGGGGTGGGCATCCTAGCTGAGTGGCCTGGGCCTCAGTTTCCCTACCTGCAAAGTGGGGTCACAGTCCCGTCTCCCGGAGCTGTTGAGACAGAGGGACTGTGCAGCTGAAGGGTTAGCACAATGGGGGACCCGGGAGCCCGAGACGGGGTCCACAGGGCCTGTGTCCCCCAGCGGATGGAAACCCGGGTGAGGCCAGCCTCCCCTGCCCTGCCCGCCCCAGCCTCCAGGGCCCCCTCTGGGCCGCCTGGCATCAGCACCCTGGAGGCCCCGCGATCTAGAATGAGCTGGGACTCCCGTCAGGCCGGGACTCAGCTGGGGGTTAAGACTCACCTCCTTCAGGAGCCTAGAGCACCTCCCTGCGGGAAGGGAGAGCGTGAGGGGCTGCACATGGGATGCGTGCCCGGCCGCCACCCCCCGCCGTCATGGGCCGCCTCGCCCAGAGACCACCCCAAGGCCTGGAGCTCACCGTGCCGGCCCACCAGGTACAGCCCCATGTCTGTGGTCAGCTCCCGGAACTTCAGGAACCCGGGCTCACACTTGCCGCCCAGGCTCCGAGCTGTGGGGGCATGCGGGCGTGAGCCAGGGGGCCCCTGGGGGCCGCAGCGGTCCAGCCCCCACCCCGGGGCAGCTTACTGAAATACTTGAACACGTAAAACTCCTTGTTCTGCCACTGGAGGGACACGCGCAGGATGGCGTAGTGCTCATAGTCCGTGTCTATCACGTGGATCTCCCGGCGGCCTGCGTGGACAAGCGGGAGCGACAGGCCTGGGTGGACGGGCGCCCCCCGGGGCGGGTCGGCCTGGGAAGTCAGTGTCGACAGGGCCTGACTCCATTCTCCCCCACGCAGCCGGGACCCTCTCGGGACACCGGGACCCTCTTGGGGGGACTAGAGCAGCTCTGGCAGGATGGCCAGTCTGTTGGGGGGAGCAGAGGAGCCTGGGGTGCTAGGAGGAGTGCAGGGAGCAGCATGAGGAACAGCCAGGCCAAGAGGAACTGGCGGGTGGGGCCCAAGGAAGCAGCTCTTACCAGGAAACACAAATTTCCCCAAAACATTCATTTCTGAGCTCACTATTTCTTCAGTCTGACAACTTCCTGAGCTGAAAGGCAACAGAGCGGTCACTGAGAAAACGCCTGCCTGCGTGCCTTCTCGGGGCCCACTCCTGGCAAGGGGGCGGGCGTGCTGGCCTCGGGGGCACCTGGGGCAGGGGGCCGTGCCGGCCCCTCGCCCGAGGGCCCTGCGCCCTTTGGAGAGCCACCCACCGCCAAGTCCTTCCCGTCCTCCTAAACCCACGGGGCCTCATCAAGACAGCCTGCTTCATTCGGGAGAGGACGCAGCTTTGTGGCCTGGGGCCCGGTCTCAGGGGAGGGTGGAGGAGGACCCCGGGGGGACTGGTGCACCCGAGGACAGTAGCAGCCACGCCCCACACCCGCGGCTGCAGCCTCCCTGACACACACGCCTGACCCCGCGCTCCCGGGGGCCGGGCCGCTCACTTGTTGTAGGCGACCGTCACGGTCAGCGTCTCCCCACTCACGGTCAGGAACAAGGCCTCCAGCCTCTTCGGGGTCTTTAGTGCCAAGTTTTCTCTGGAGGCCACACCAGCTTCCCACCAGAATCCTACCATCTAGAGAAAGGACCGGAGCCAAGCCCGTTCGGGCAGCTGAACCGGGCCCCGGGAGGCAGACCCCTCTCCATAGACCTCCCAGGCAGGGAGTCAGCGGGCTCTGAAAGGTCAGCGAAGCAGCAGGTGGCGGGCCTTCTCCGGGGTCCCCACACGGGCCTGTCTGCAGCTGCTGCAGGGCTGGTGCCCTGTCTCTGAGGAGACCCCGCCTTGCAGTGCCTGCCCCTGGGCAGAGGCAGCGGTGGTCAGAGCCTGAGAGACAGGGCAGAGAGCAGGCTGGCTGGATGTGAAGGCCCCCAGGGGTGGTGGCCAACAGCCCTGCACCGTGGGGGAGGCCCGGCTCCCCACGGCCATGCTGGAGGACCGAGCGCCCGCCCTGGAAACCACCCCTGGGGCCCGGACCGTCCCTCTGAAGCTTTTAAAAACTGATCATTTTTTGCAAGAGAAACAAATCTGTGTCTGACACTGGCTGTTTCTGAGCCTGCTGGCCCAGGCCGGGCAAAAAAGGAGCTCAGACAAAGAAGCCTCCAGATGGAGACCGAGAACGCCCCCCGCCGAGGTCCTGGCCCGGGAAGGCCTTCTCCTCTGCTCCCACCTCCTTCGGGGTCAGAGGTCAGAGCAGGAAGCCCGCCAGCCTGAGAGCAGAAGACGGCCACTCAGAGCCCCACACCCCAGAGACCCCCTCAGGGGACCGGCCAGCCAGGCTGAGGACACAGTCACCCAGAGGAGGCCCTGGGGGGACGGGGAGGGGGCCCCCGGGAGGGCCCCCCCCCGTCGGCCCTGGGTACTCAGCACATCCCCACCGACCAGGAGCGGGGACCTCAGGCTGGGCTGAGCTCAGACCCAGGGGGTCCTGGGACCTCCGCGCGCCTGTCCCAGCTCAGCTGTGGGAGAGGAGAGCTGGAGGAGCTGGACCCTCGGGGCCCTCCCGGCCCAGGCCCGCCACCCCGAGGAGGACCAGCACCTTCTGCAGGTCCAGGCCCTGCGGGGTCATCTGCACCTGGGCCAGTGTGAGGCCCAGGAGGGCCCTCAGCAGCCCGGCCCCCATTGAGCGTCTGCTCCACGCCCTGAGTCCTGGGCAGGGTTATAGCAGGATGGAGGGCGGCGGGGGTGCAACCCCCCAAGAGGACCGTGGTGAACTTGGCCTCCAGCCACTCAGAGGTGTGCATCCGGGCCCCAGGACGCCCACAGCCGCGGGGCGCGGTGACCTGGACCAGAACAGCCCATGCCACCCCCTCCTGGTCCAGGGACGACGGTGGGCACCATGGCGGGGCCCGCCTGGGGGCCTGAGGGCAGGACAGAGCCCCCAAAGCAGGGCTGCCAGGACCACATCTCCCCCCGGGGAGGGGCTGCCAGGATGGATTCGCCAAGCCCAGGCTGCACACACAGCCACACACTCCCCTCCCGGGGCTCACATCAGTCTTCAAGCTTTTTCTGATGGGTCTCGGGACAAGTGAGTGAACGCCCCACAGGCCTGGACCACAGAGGCAGGTGAGGGCTGCTTCTGGGTAGGGGGAGTGTTGGAGGGGCTGCAAGGCGTGGGTGGGAGAGGTCATTGCCTGCAGAGGGGGCCGTGGGGACAGACAGATGCCCCGCAGAGGCGGCGCTGGGGTCGCCCAGGCCCCTGCCCCTCCATGGACACCAGGGAGCGGCTAGCCACCCACCCGCTTCCTGTGCTCGCAGCTTCTCCACGGATGGGACCCTCCCCGCCCTGACACCCACCCTGACACCCACCCTGCACGGCCAGGCGGGGCCAGCCTCAGGGACCCCTGTCCTGCTTACGCTCCACGAGCTGTGGGCCACCGGTGTCCACCCCTTCCCACTGTGCCCAGGCCCCTAACCTGGGACCAGATGGCCAGGAGGTCAGGGTGAAGGCAGAGCCAGGCTACCTGGGCACCAAGGCCTCCAGCTGCATTGCCCAAGGGAGCTGCCCTGCCTCAGTTTCCCCACACGTCAGGATGGAGAGCAAAGCAGGGGTCGGGTGCCCAGGAGGGTCCCAGGGCACCAAAGCAGCCATGACCCAGCTAGCAGCCCTGGCCTCTGGCCGACGCAGGGCGGCCTCCCCACCTCCAAGGCCACAAAGGCTCACCCAGGCCTGGCCAGCTAAAGGGGAGGCCTGCTCACCCGAGGCAGGGGGACTGCCACCTTGACCCTGCAGCAAAGCTGTGGTAACCGGTCACACTGGGACCAGGCAGCCCTGAGACCTGGGGGGCTCATCCAAAGGGAAGGAGCGGGGCGGGGTGCCCGGGGAGGCTGATCCGGTCCTGGGCTGAGCCCGGAGCTGGGCTCACGAGCCAGGTCCCCAGGGGCTTGAGTGGGCAGAGGAGAGAGGACAGGAAGCCCAGGGCCGCCCCCTGTCTTGGGGTGACCAGGCCGAGACAAGGATGGATGCACTCAGAGCTAACAGCTTCCTGCCCCACCCGCCAGGGCTGCAGGATGCCCACGAGCAGTGAAGCAGGGTGTCCAGCGCCTTCCTGCCCCCCACAGGCCCGGCCCTTTGAAGGGTGTGCATCGGGCAGAACCGGATGCTGCGAGCTCCGCGGGGCATGGTGTCAGGGCAGGAGCTGCACGGGCCCCGGGCGTGGGGTGCTCCAGCCCCCCACCTCATTGAGGGTCAGCAGGGAGCCCAGCTGGGCCACTGGCTGGGCAAGTTGCCGACCTCTCTGTGCCTCGGTTTCCTCATGAGAAGGCAAGGCGCCCGGCAGGCTCACCGCTCGGGCCTGGGGGTCCACCCAGGGGCACTCAGGCTGGGCCACAGGGAGGGGCTCAGGGTGCTCTGGCCACGACCGTGACTCATTGCCAAGCCTCACAGAGGCTCACCAACAAGCCCAAGGTCAAGGTCACAGCAACAGCAGGAAGGAAATCCCGACAAGCTGCACCCCGAGGCTCCTCTGTGGCTGCTCTGCCTCTATGGGTTCTGTGCCCCTGATGGAGGGCTGGGCTGCCCAGGCCCCCTCGGTGTCCCCACAGGGGCCGTGAACCCACGGGGGCCGGGCTGGGGGGCCCAGATGCTGCCTGTGGGTGCAGCCCCATGGGGGCCACCCTTGGCCGGCGCCTCTCCCTCCGAGCCACGGTGCCCGTGCCTCAGTGGCTCCAGGAGCCCGGGTCATGGGAGGGCCCCAGGGCCCTCCCCAGCAGCCTCTCCAAAGAATCCAGGGGCCTGGAAGCTGCAGAATCTGTTTATTGAGTGGAAGGGGGAGGCCCCAGGAGATGCCCGCGGAGGGTAGGGGATGGGGAGGTGCAGGGCTGGAGGGCCGTGGGTCAGGACGACTCGGGGTGACAGAACCTGCTGCTCCGGCTCGCCCTGCACAGACAGCAAAGGTCCGGTCACTCCTGGGACCCCCGAGCGGCGCTTCACACAGCAGGGTGCCCCATCTACTCATCCCCCGAAAGGGCAAGGTGAGCGGATTCCGCCACTGAAGCTTCTGCAACTATGGAAACACTCCCCCAAGGCGGCCCCTTTCCCCCGAGGCCACAGCCCCAGTGCCGCCCCTTACGGGCTCACCGGGGACCCAGCCACTGTCCCCAGGGTCTCACCACAGCCTGGCTAGCAGAACAGCCACTTAATCCCAAGGAGCCTACAGACGAAGCCCTGGAGAGGGGGTCCACGTAGGTGTCACGTTACCCTAAAAGGTGCTTTTTCTAACATAATCCTGGGGGTGGGGCAGACAGGCTCATGCTCTCTGTACCTAGAACCTTCCTGATGGCACGTGACCCGATCCCTAACGTTGCTGAAACAGGGACGGAGCCAGGACCCTGGGCCGCATCGTTGAGACCACTGACAGCTGCAGCAGCCCAGTGCCCCCAGCGCAGCCCTGGGTGAACTCGGCCTGGCCGGGGGAGCGGAGTGAAGTGAAGGCCGGAGGGGCACTGCCCGCAGGCCACTCTGGAAGCCCCCACCTAACCTGACCATGCCAGGAGAGGCCGCAGGGGGGCCTCCTGACGCCAGCGACTGTCACATTGTGTCCGAGGTTTACTGTTCATGTAGGTTCCCAAGTTCTTCACGGGGAAGGGGGGTGAGGGGCCCGAGGGTCTCCTGTCCGCTTTGGGAGAAGGCATCCGCAAGAGCCCAGCTGCATCCATGTCCCAAGGGATCCTGGGGACTCAGCCCTGTGACGGCAGCAAGCCACAAGGCCGTGGTTCCCACCTCGTGGGGCCCTTGGGAGAAGATGAGGACTCGGGAATCCCAAGGCAGCACCCAGCACCTCTGGGTGAGCCAGGGGCTATGCGGACACAGGACACACTGGGCTGGATCGTGTCCCTCCAAATCCATGTCCACTTGGAACTCCGAAAGTGCCCTTACTTGGAAATAAGGTCTCTGCAGATGTAATTGGTTGAAGATCTTGAGAGGGGATCACCCTGGATTTAGGGTACCTTATATGAGGGCAATCTGGCCTCTTAACAAGCAAAGCAGAGATGGGAGTGGTGGGTCGACAGGCCAAGGGTCGCCAGCAGCGCCAGCCGCTGGAAGAGGCGGGGATTCGGCCCCGAGCCTCCAGGAGGAACAGCCCTGCCCAGTCCTTGACTCTGCACCTCTGGCCTCTAGGCTATGAGAGAGTAAATTCTTGTTGTTTTAAGCTACCCAGTTTGTGGTAGTTTGTTAGGGCAGCGCTAGGTGATCAGGAGAGGCTCCTCAGAAGGGGTGATGTGTAAGTGGAGGCTTCAGGCACACGAGTGAGTATCCAGGGAGAACAAGGGATGCTGGGGGATCTGCATGTGCAGACCTCAGGAGGTGTGAGGGCAGGAGGCCCGGGACACAGGCCCTGGAGAACGGGAGGCAGGTGATACCCTGGCCCCTACCTGGGAAGGGCCAAGTCTCCGGGCCCTCAGGGTGCGTCCCTGTCCCCCAGGGAACACGCATCTGTAGAAAGACAGAGGGTCCCGAGAGGCTGGGCTGGCTGGGACTGCCCCCTGCCTCCTGCAGCCCCTCCCCATGCCAAGGGACCCTCTGGGGGCGGCCCCACCCCGGGCCCGGCCAACACACCCTTGGAAAACAGGGCTATGACTTGGGTAGCATGGCCACCATGTCCGCTGACAGCCCCACCGTCGGGTAGAAGTCCTGGAAGGCCTCCAGGGCTTGGGGACTCGCTTCTCGGGTCCGGCCTGGGACAGAGCGGGGGCCCCTGTGAACCCCTGTGGGTCACGGAGGTGAGAGAGCCGGCAGATGGGGGCCCCGGGGCTCACTGCACTTTCCTGAAGGCTGACGGTAGCTCTGCCACCTGAGGCTGTACACTGATGAATGTGCCTGCCTGGCTGAGGGGCCAGAGGGGACTGGAAGCTGCCCGGAAGGGCAGCCTTTCCCAATTCACACAGAGCACCTGGGAGCGCCCGGCTGCTCTCCCAGACCCTGCGCCCCGGAGGCCCACCCCTTCAGACACCTTTACCTGCAGCTCCCAAAGCCAGCTTCCCGCCCTCACCCTGGCCTCTCCCCTTGGGGAGCTCTCCTGGTTCACTCTGCCAAGCCCTCGAGAAATTAAACCAAAACAGTATCGCAGCCCTGCTCAGGGTGTCAGGCCGTAGGCCACGCGGGGGAGGCGGGTCTCCAGCCAGAGACAGGCCTGAGCTTTGGCCTGAGCGCCCATCCTTCAGAGGTCCCTCGGCTCAGCCGTACCCATCGGCAGCGCTGGGGCTTCCGCCAGCCCCCACCCGGACCTGGTCCAGACTTGGGAGTGTGAGATGGGGTGGGCAGGGCCTGAGGAGGTGCCCCAGCGGATGGGGTGGGGTCCAACGGGGACAGTGGGTGGGGTCGGGGGAGCCCTCACTGTAGAGCTGCACCATGGCGCTGAGCGCGCCCTCCAGCTCCTTGTAGATGTAGACCACGGCGAAGGAGCTGTAGTCCGTGTCCACCACGCGCACGTCCAGGTAGCCCAAGGCTGCAGAGGAGGCGGCCGGCTGTGGACAAGGGCACAGCGGAGCATCCACCCCACCCACACGGGGAAAGGGGGCGGGGCCCAGGCAGAGGCAGGGGAGGGCCCCGGGAGGGGAGGGGAGGGGCATGGGGGAGGGTCACCCATAGAGAAGGGGGTGGGGGTCACCTACCTGGGACTCGGAAGTGCCCCTGGGAACCCACTCTCAGGTACTCCGCATCCACTTGGTTACAGCCGTCCTCCCTGGGGGTGCACGCCCGCTCATTCTCGGCCCTGCCCACCCGGCCCCGTCCTGGGGTGCACAGCCCACTCACTCTCGGCCCGGCCCCACCAGTCCACCCGGCCGCACCCCACGCGCGCTCATGCCGCGCGCGCTCACCGGGGGAACTCCATGTGGACGCTGAGGTTGCCCCCCGCCGAGGCCTTGATGTCCCTGGTGGACATCAGGAGGTGGTCCTTCTTGCCCAAGAAGACCTTGCAGTCAGAGACCATGGAGACCACGTACCAGAGCCCTGAGAACTGCAAGACAGCTCAATGACCCGAGGCCGGACAGTCCTCCCACCCGGACCGTGGGCCAGAAGGCCCCAGATTTGTCTGAAGCCCCTCGGCCGGGCCTCTCCGGAGTGTCCGAGCCCTGTGCTGCCACTCACCTGGGGCAGGGCTGCTGGCCACTGGGAGCCTCGGTGCTCCCAGCTGTGAAGTGGGTCAGTAACTATCCACAGACAGGGTTATTTCAGGGTTAAATGGAAGGGACTCTAAAGGCTGCACAGGCCCGGAACACCGAGCAAGCGTCCCATGGAGGCGGCAGGCTCCGCTAGCACACGGTCACTCGTTTCCAGCGGCAGCTCAGCCTGGACCCCCACTTGCATGGCGCAGCATGGGCGCCTCTCGTACCTTGTTGGCATCAAAGTCTGGCTGCACCAGGACGTCAGCCCGAGCTGAGGATGGCCAGAGCAGCAGCAGGACGCAGCTCAGCAGCGTGGCCCCCATCCCCGTCCGCGCCCCCTGGCCCCGGCGATGGGTCCACCAGCCCCCTGTAGGCAGCTTTATAGCCCAGCCCGCAGTGGGGCCGGGCCAGCAAGCCGCCTGGGCAGCGGACGGCGTCTCGGCTCCGGAAAAGCCAGCCCCTCTTTGTTCATTGTTTGGCACAATCGCTCGAGTGTCCCCACCGGCTCCAGGGGTCATTTCCGGGAGGGCTCTCACTTGGCTCAGGCCTTGTGGGCACCGTGGCGGGAGCCTGGGGCCCTTGGGGGCGCCACTGGGAAGCACCCACAGTCAGGTTGCTCCAGCCAAGAGGCTCCCCCTTGGGGCCCAGGTACCCCAGAGTCCTCACCCCCTCACATCCCTGCACAGGAGCGGAGTCACCATCAGCCAGGCCTGGGGACCTCGTCTCAGGGGGACAGAGGTGACGTCAGAGGCCCGAGCAGCCCTGCCTCCTGCCCCTGGCTGGGCCTCCAGCAAGCCCGTGTGGAGGGCGGGGCTGGGCCACCACCTGGGGTGGATTATGGGGCCACAGCCACCTTATCACCTGTTGCATAAGCTTGCGGACCGCAATGTCGCCGGGGAGGCGCCGCAGGCCGGTGGGGGCTCGGGCCGGCGAGGCCTCTCTCCAGGAGGCCTCTTCTGTCCTGTCGGGGGACGCCATTCAAGGAGCAGCACACGGCCTGGGGCCCTCAGAGTCCTCTGATCAGAGGCAGGCGTCCCCAGGGAAGGTCAGCACTGCTCTCCTGGGGCACTCAGAGTCCTCTGATCAGAGGCAGGCGTCCCCAGGGGAGGTCAGCACTGCACTCCTGGGGCACTCAGAGTCCTCTGATCAGAGGCAGGCGTCCCCAGGGAAGGTCAGCACTGCTCTCCCTGTGGAAGTGCGCTCAGGGTCGGAGAAGGACCCTCATCAACCAGCGGGGTGGGGGGAGTGGGGCGGCGGGGCCGAGGGCTCCGGCTCACCGCCTCCACTGGGTTCAGGAGGCGCCAGCTCTCAACCAGATCCCAGAGCCCTGGGACAGACGGCAGTGAGAGCCTTCCTGTGCAAATATTTACAAAACACCCATCTGATAAACGGCTTAAATCCTGAATCTATAGAGAACTCTCAAAACTTAAAAAAAAAAAAAGTGAAATATTTCAAAAGATTCCAAGTCAGAAAGCAAAGCCATGCAGAGAGGCTCATGGGCATTCGTTCACTGTAAGGAGACACCACCACAGGCCGGCAGGCTGGCCACTCTGTTTCCAAACCAAAGACACTGGATGGTCACTGCCGGGGTGGGGAATCGAGAGGGTGCAACGCCCTGGGCAATGGCTTGGCAGATTCTCATGAAGGAAAACATTCAAATACCATGTGATTCGACAATCGCAAGCTTAGATATTTACCCAAGAAAAATGAGACACACTTTAGCAAAACCTGCTGGTGGCTGGTAGTGAGATCTTACTGACAATCCCTAAAATACGGAAACAACCAAATACCGTTCACGGGGCAGGACGAACAAACATGAGACTCTCCAAACACACTGGCTCAGAGTACCTCTCGGGTAAACCCCAAACGCCTTACGCTGAGTGAAGAAGCCAGCCTGGGAGGGTTACAGACTATGGCTCCAGAACACAGGAATCCTCAGGGACACAAGGCGTGGCTGGAGGACGGATGGGCCTGGCTGATGACAGAGTGGCTTGAGGAGACTCTGGAGTGATGGACTGTGGTGTGTTTGTCTAAACTTACAGAACCAAAGGGGGTGAATTCCATAGCATGTAAATTATACCTCAACTTTTAAAAAATGTAAACTAGAGACTTGCCTGGTGGTCGAGTGGCTAAGACTCTGTGCTCCCAGTGCAGGGGTCCAGGTTGGATCCCTGGTCAGGGAACTAGCTCCCACGTGTCACAGCTAAAGGTCCTGTATGCCCCAGTGAAGACCCAGTGCAGCCAGGTAAATAAACTTTTAAGTGTAAACTACAGTATATATTTATACTTATATAGTGTAGATAGGCTGGACACGGAACAACTGACTGGTTCCAAATAGGGAAAGGAGTACGTCACGGCTGTATATTGTCACCCTGCTTATTTAACTTATATGCAGAGTACATCATGAGAAATGCTGGGCTGGATGAAGCACAAACTAGAATCAAGATTGCTGGGAGAAATATCAATAACCTCAGATATGCAGATAACACCAACCTTAGGGCAGAAAGCGAAGAACTAAAGAACCTCTTGATGAAAGTGAAAGAGGAGAGTGAAAAAGATGGCTTAAAGCTCAACATTCAGAAAACTAAGATCATGGCATCTGGTCCCATCACTCCATGGCAAATAGATGGGGAAACAGTGGAAACAGTGACAGACTTTATTTTCTTGGGATCCAAAATCACTGCAGATGGTGATTGCAGCCATGAAATTAAAAGACTCTTACTCCTTGGAAGGAAAGTTATGACCAACCTAGACAACATATTAAAAAGCAGAGACATTACTTTGCCAACAAAGATCCATCTAGTCAAGGCTATGGTTTTTCCATTGGTCATGTATGGATGTGAGAGTTGGACTACAAAGAAAGTTGAGTGCCAAAGAATTGATGCTTCTGAACTGTGGTGTTGGAGAAGACTGTTGAGAGTCAGTCCATCCTAAAGGAAATCAGTCCTGGGTGTTCATTGGAAGGACTGATGTTGAAGCTGAAACTCTTAATATTTTGGACACTTGATGCGAAGAGCTGACTCATTTGAAAAGGCCCTGATGTTGGGAAAGATTGAAGGCAGGAGGAGAAGGGGACAACAGAGGACGAGATGGCTGGATGGCATCACTGACTCAATGGACATGAGTTTTGGTAAACTCCGAGAGTTGGTGATGGACAGGGAGGCCTGGTGTGCTGCGGTTCATGGGGTCGCAAAGAGTGGGACATGAGTGAGCGACTGAAATGAACTGAGTGTAGATAGGTAGGCAGGTAGACTGTATGAACTCTTCTCCCAAATGCCAGCTCTTGGGATGAGGGGCAGGGAGACAATGTGTCCGGAGCCCCCAAGTAAGATCCAAGAGTGGTAGGCAGAGGTCAGACCTCTAACCATAGAACTGTGGGGTGAGAGTGAGCAGGGATCAAGGGACAGGTCACCGCAGCTTGCAGACCTCTTGAGGACCCCCTTGAGCCTCAGGTGTGGGGCAGCTTCCGAGGCCACGGATAACGCTCCCACCACCAGCATGCTCCCTGTCTGGGTCTGGACTCCCAAGTGCAAACCCACGCCGAGGGCAAACCCACGCTGAGCACAAACCATCCCCAGCCCGCCCCCGCCCCAGCCGGGCCTCTTGCTCATACCCTCCTGCCCAGGGGCCCTCTGGTCCCATCCAGCCCCTCACCAGAGCCCCCGCCACCTGGGTTACTTCTCACCCTCTGCCTAGTCAGCAGCCTTCCTCAAACCCAGCCCACCACCTGTCTGTTTCCTGGTCGCTTAGCACCCTCCCAGTCCTCTCCTGTGTTTATCTGTTCTCTGCCCTCCTGTTCTCTCTGTTCTCCTGTGAACCCCGAGACGACAGAGCTGCACCAGCCTGCAGGCCACCCGTCGGCCTCTGTTTCCCAAGCCCGGAGCACAGGGTCTGGAGGTGGAAGCTGCCCACTGACCCTTGTGAGTGAATGAGGGTCAGGCCCAAGTCGCTGTGACCCGCAGGTCTGCCAACTGGAAACCGCACAGCATGCATTTGCCTGCAGGCAGCGTCTGTGTGGCCACGTCCGGCTTGAGGTGGCCCTGAGTGCCTGGTGCTGCAGGCCCAGCCAGCAGCGGCTCAGTGGGGGCCCGCACACACGGTGCGCCGGGCAGTGCGGCCAGGGCCTCTGTCGCGTCCTGCAGGCCTCAGCGCCCTGACGGAGGCTAGCGCATGCTCTGCTATGTGCAAAGGGGGTTTGTGGGGGCTCAGGACGAGGATGGGGGCACCGGCAGGAGAGCTGCTTTGGTGGGCGGGGGGCAGACCAGAGCGGGCGAGGCCCTGGACCCAAGAAGGCGCAGTCCCAGAAGTGGCCACAGGGCAGTAGCAAAGAGACACCGCTCGCAGGGCTGGTGGAAGAGCTTAGATGGGGCCTGCGGTTCATGGAGCTGGGGCGGGGCCCCCTGGGGAGGGGTCCTCTATAAGGAAAGCTGCTTACACTGAGGTGAGGTCTGCTGAGGGGCTGGGCTCCCCAAGTGGCGCCAGCGGTAAAGAACACGCTTGCCAGTGAGGAGATGTAAGAGACGCAGGTTTGATCCCTGTGTCTGGGAGATCCTCTGGAGGGGGGCGTGGCAACCCACTCCAGTATTCTTGCCTGGAGAATCCCCATGGACAGAGGAGCCTGGTGGGCTACAGTCCGTGGGATCACAGAGACTTGGGCCGGACAAGCGAGTTTGCCTTCATGCTTTCCGCTGAAGGGCTGCGAAGCTTCAAAAGCGCCACCAACGAATGGATAGACAAACGTGGTCCATCCACACGTCGGAAGACTGTCCATGTGACACGACGACCCTTGAAGACAGGGTGCTGGTGAGAGGCCACGTGCAAGAGTCCCCTGTGGGACATGCATGCTAGCAAGTCTGCAAAGACAGAAAGGAGATTAGTGGTTACCGGTGCTGGGCTGGGGGTTACTGTTTGAAGCGTGTGGGGTCTCCCTTTGGGGAGAAATGCCCCAGGGGGGCAGCGAATTCTGCCAGGAAGCCGACATCTGGCTGAGAGCTGGGCCACACAGCAGGCAGACACAGCCCAGCGGGGGGGCGGGCGACAGCTGCCTAGGACAAAGAGGACTGGGGAGTGGGGGTCACAGGGGGATTGGAGGGCTACAGAGCTGGGGGGTGGGGGTCACAGGGAGGATTTCAGGGCTCCCAGAGGCTGCTCTGGGTGCTGAGCAGGAGCCAACAGGAAGGTCCTGGGAACACTGGGTCCGAGGCCACCCGGAGGCACTGAGCTCTGAGTGGCCACCATCCCCACCCGCTTCCTCCAGGCTCAGAGCCCAGGCTCGCCCCGTAGTGTCCCCCAGTCTCCACAGCAGGCTGCCTGCTGCTGGGGGGGCGGGCGGGGGCATTGGCATGGAGGCGCAGGGCAGCCGGGTCAATCCCAGCTGGGCCCCGCCGCCAACGGCTGACCGTGTCCAGCGCCCTACATGCCGCTCCCGCCCCGAGGGCCCCTCCCGGGCTGGCGTCCTCGCCACCCATCCAGCTGCCCGGTAAAGATCAAAGGGAGGAGCTCTGGCTCGGCCTCCTGGGCCGGGGTCCTGCAGCCCCTGCCCGCTTCCTGGTCCAGTGCCCCCGGGCCCCCTCTGTGGAGCCACGGGGAGTCACCCCTGCCCGTGGTGGGCTGTCTGTGCCAGAGGCCCCGGCCCCGGGGTCCTCCAGGCCTGGGGGCAGGGTGGAGCTTTGCTGCAGGTCTGTGTGTGATGGGCTCTCTTTGGCCCCCTTTCCTGCAGGGCACGTCCTGTCTCCACGCAGGGGTGGGGCACTGGCCTGAGGTCCTTCCTGGGAAGGCCCAGCAGGACAGACAGCTCCATCTTTCATCAGCTTACAAGCTGCCTATCCTGTGTCCACAGCACCCTGGAAGCCAGCCAGCAGGGGAGGCCGGGAGCTGTGGTTCGCAGGGCACCCCTCCCCGGGAGGGCATCCTCCCAGGTACTTCCACTTGGGTTTTGGGGCCTCAGACAGATCCTGCCAAACCCTTTGACCTCCGCTCCCAGGCACGGTCTCTACTGACCCAGAGTGGGCAGCCCAGGTCCAGGGAAAGCTTTCATGTGGCCTTGGGGGCCCGGCCAGGCTCATGGTGAGCAGAGGTGGGAGGCGTCAGAGTGCGGCTGCCCAGAGAGTGGGCAGGTCCGGATGGGTGGGTGGGCGGCGGAAGGCACAGGGCATTCCAATTAGGTGCTGGCCATGGAGGGGCAGGAGACAAGGGGCAGCCGGGCAGGAAGGTGGGTGGGCCAGGAGCGGGTGAGAGCTTCAAAGAAATGGTGTGTGGGGGGGAAATTTTGTATTTTTAATGCCTAAAGCAAAAGATACCCCAAACCGCAGCTTCTGGAGGAAGTTTGTCCTTGCCTCTCTTCTCAGACGTGACCCTGGCCTGGGTTCAAGAGCAGGGTCTCTGGCCCTCCTAGACTGAGCGAGAGAGGGGTGGCTCCCTGGAAGGGAGGGGATGGTGCAGCCAGGGGCAGGATGCTCATTCTGCAAACTTCCAAGTGGAGGGCTGCTGGAGAAGCTGGGGTGGCATGAAGGTGTCCGTGTGGAAGGGGCCCTGCACACGGTCCCGGCCCCTCCCTGCTCCCCGGTGCGGCTGGAGGGTGAGGAGAGAGGCAGGAGGCAGTCTGGCGGTGAGCAGCCGCCCACAGCACTGCGTTCAGAGTCATAAACGGGCGTCCAGAGGCAGGAGGGCTGCTCACCCCGGGCCCGGGCAGGTCACTGGTGTGTGGACCTCGGGAGGATGAGCGCTGTGCTGCTGGCCGCCCTGCTGGCTGTGGCATCGGCACCCAGCGCCCGGGCCGTGTGGCTGGGGAGGCTGGACCCTCAGCAGGTGATGGCTCCCCTGCACCGGCGCGGGTCTGGGGCCACATGCGTCCTTGGGCCTTTGTGGTCTCTGGGCTCCCCTGGGGCCCTCCAGACCACAGGGGCTGCAGGAGGCTGGGCTGGGGCTGGGGTGACGGCCCCTCACCTGCACCCCCTCCCTCAGCTCATGGGGTCCTGGTATGTCCTCGCCGTGGCCTCGGGGGAGAAGGACTTCGCGCTGGAGAAGGCCACAAAGAGTGTCGAGGGGGTTGAGGTGATGCTGACGTCCCAGAACACCCTGAAAATGCGGGCTTCCCGGCACAGGTGGGTGGGGCGGGGGCATGGCTGGGTGGCCGGGCCGCCCTCCCCTCCCTCTGCACTGGGCTTTGATGTGAGCTCCACCGTCCACCTGGTCTCCGGGGTCTGCGTCCTGGGCTTCGGCTGGGGGGTGCCCCTGGGTGGGACTCGCGCCTTCTCCAGCGAGGCCAGCACAGCCTCTGACTGCCCCCTCTGCCCCGGCCCTTGGGCAGCCCGGCGGCAGCTCTGGTCAGCAGGAGAGACCGCTTCTTTGTTCAAGGCCCTCCTGACTGGCTGTTCAAGGTGGGTCTGTGCATTTGAGCCCATATGGCCCGGGGGGCCCCGGGGGAGCCCGGAGACCACGAAACCCTGAGCACCCGCATCACCTAAGTGTCCAAGTCCCCGCCTGTCGCTCAGGGTGGCTGGTGGGACGCCATCCCTGCCCTGGAGTCATCACGCAGGCTGAGTGGCCGGTGGCCCCGTCCCGAGAGGAGGCTGACTGCCCTGCTCCTTCCCGCAGCCGAGCCTGCTGTGGCTGCCGCCCAGCTGGGCTGGACCGTGGACAAGCCAGGACAGGGGACACGGGGCTTGGGGCGGGCGCCCTGCGGTGCTGGGTGAACACACGGTCACACGCGTCATGGGCTATAACCCCAAAGCCATGTGGCTCAGAGTCCTAACAAGGCTCCAACATGTTCCATCCAAACACGGAGGCTTGGCCCCGTGGGACAGCCGTGGACGGTGAGGGGATGAGGGCGCTTGCAGGGGCGGGGGTCTCCCAGCCCTTTCTGGCGTTCGCTTGTGGGTGCCGTCGGCCAGCGGCCTCGCTCCCTGCGGCGTGGAGGCGCGCGTGTCTGAGAACCTCGGCCACAGCGGGGCGGAAGGGGCGGGGCCCGGGGGTCCGGGGGCGGGGCGCACACTGACCGCAGGGTGGAAGGACGGGCAGGAGGGCGCTCCGTTTCGTTCTTTAAGGTGAATTTCGTGTGTTGGTCTTCGAGTAGGAAACACGGTTACCTGGTTCAAAGATCAGAGCCCCCTGGCGCTTTCCTGGGGGTCCAAGGGTTAGGACGCTGTGCTCTCACTGCCAAGGGCCCCAGTTCGATCCCTAGCAGCGAACTGAGATCCCACGAACTGTGCCAAGTGGCCAAAAGCAACGGGGAGGTGGACAGCAGGGGTCTTCCCCCCACTTCAGCCAGCGGCCCCCTCCCAGCAGGCAGCCCAGGTTTTGGTCTGTGATGGCTCCTCGGAGATGGTCAGGAACACGCCAGCACATGCACGTCTTTCAAGCACTCAGGCAAGCCGCAGTTTGGCGTCAGCCCCCAGGGGTCTCTGCCCTCTTTTGAAACATTTAAGATTTAATTATCTTTTGCCTTTCTTAAAGTTTTAAAACCTGTGGTAAGATAAACATAACACCTTAACCGTTCTAAGTGCACAGGTCAGGGGCATCAAACACGCTCAGGTTGGGCAAACCTCACCAGCATCTCCGGGAGTTTCTCACCTTCTCAGACTGACCCCCTGTCCCCCGCAGACCCTCACTTCCCCTCCCCTCCCGCAGCCCCTGGCTGCACCATCTGCTTCTGTCTCTGTGGGTTTGATTCCTCTAGGGCCTCACATGAGTGGATCCTGCATTAGACCTTTTTAAAGAAAAAGTGTTGTTTGTGTCTTTATGTTCGTTCTGGCCCTGCTGGGTCTCTATTGCTGTGTGGCTTTCTCTGGGGGTGGAGAGTGGGGGCTACTCTCGGCTGCACAGGCTTCTTCTGTTTTGGAGCACGGGCTCTAGAGAATGGGCCCAGTTGCTCTGCAGCATGTGGGGTCCTCCCAGACCAGGGACCGAACCCTTGTCTCCTGCTTTGGTGGGCAGATTCTCTACCACGAGGTAAGGACGTGGAAGGAAGCCCTCTGTTTGTCTTGTGTCTGGTATCAGAACAAACTGTCCTCCAGGTTCACCCATGTTGCGAGCTGTGTCGTAATTTCCTTCTTGAAGGCTGAGTAATATTCCACTGCAGGGATAGACCACATCTAGCTCCCTTTCATCCATTGATAGATGTCTGGATTGCTTCTGGCTTTTGGGCCTTGAGAACACGGGTGTGCAAATATCTGTCTGAGACCCTGTTTTCAATTCTTTTGGAGACACACCCAGATTGTGGGATTATTGGGTCAATCTGCTGACTCTGTGACTTTTTTTGAGAAACATTTTTCACAGCCAAGTAATACTCCCCTGGGCTGCCTTCCAGGTCTCTGCTGATGGGCAGACAGCGATCTCCATTCTTTCGCAACTGGAAACACACCTAGGGGTGTGGATGTTGGTGCACCGGCCTGGGAGGGACAAATTCCTGGAGCTGAAGTGCGTCTGCCCTTCTTTCTCCGTGTCACATGAGGCGCGTGCCCCGAGCTGGTGCAGGACTGAGTGTCTGCTTGCCCTACGTTCTTGGCCATCTGATGGGTGACTGATGTCTCCACGGTTGTTTTTACTGCCTCCTGTGATCACAGGGGGGCGGGGATCTCGGGGCCTATTCCTTCTGGGGCTCCTCCCCAGCCTAGCATCTGTTCATGTCTTTTGCATATTTTTTCCTGGGGTAGGTTTTTATTGCCATGCAAGAACACTTAGGTATCAGTGATTTTGGCCACGGTCTGTAATAAAGGTTAGCTGCAAATTTTCCCAGTCTGTCATTCTTACACCTTCGAGCAGTTTTTGGTAAGAAGAGTTCTTTCTGTCTTTGTGTGGATGTAACTCTGGCTGCTTTCTAGGGCCTCTGGGTCTTGTGATGTAGTTGTTAGGTCTTTCCACCTCCCTGGAGCTGAGAGGCCTCTGCTCTCTGACCTGCTCAGGGCTACGCCCTGGGGACCTGCAAGGTGTGACTGGTTGATGGACGTCCAGCTGCCCTGCACCCCTTGCCCGGGGTCCCTCTTCCTCCACTGGCTGGAGATGCTCGCTTTGTGATTCGCTAACCTCCTGGGCATTTTGCTTCATTTCCGGACTCTCTTCTGTTCCTTCAATCAGTCTGCTTTTGTGCCCGTGAGTCGGGTTGCTTTCCCTCTGGTGGCTCCGCGTTGTTAGGTCATCGGCTGGTTCTTGCTGGTGATGCTCCTTTCAGGCTTTTCCTCGTTACTCCTGGGTCTTGCAGGGAACTTGGCCGCGAGCTCGTCTTGCTGCGCTCACAGAAGGCAGTCTGCTCAATTTACGGGTTGATGGCTTAGGGACACTGGCCTCCTTAGATGTGGAGTCGCTTTACCCCAAACTGCAGGCCCCCCATTGGTCTCAGGCCCCTTTCATGCCCTCAGCAGCGCTCCCAAGTTTTCTCCATGTGGATCTGGCAAAGCAGGCCCCTCAGGAGGTAGCAGGCCTGCGGCCCCGAGGGGTCGCTTGCGGTTGAGAGCAGGGTTTCTGGGTAACTGCGGCCCCGAGGGGTCGCCTGCGGTTGAGAGCAGGGTTTCTGGGTAACTGCGGCCCCGAGGGGTCGCCTGCGGTTGAGAGCAGGGTTTCTGGGTAACTGCGGCCCCGACGGGTCTCCTGCGGTTGAGAGCAGGGTTTCTGGGTAACTGCGGCCCTGAGGGGTCTCCTGTGGTTGAGAGCAGGGTTTCTGGGTAACTGCGGCCCTGAGGGGTCAACTGCGGCCCCGAGTGGTTGCCTGCGGTTGAGAGCAGGGTTTCTGGGTAACTGCGGCCCTGAGGGGGAGGCAGAGTCTGCTGCAGCCACACTGGCCGGGTCCTGGCGGCCGAACCTGTGTCCTGGTCCTGCACCTGGACCTGGGTGACGATGGATCCTTCTCTGCTCCAGGATGGAGAGATGCCACCTGCAGGGTGTGGAGCTGCAGAGACAAAATTCCGGATGGGTCTTCAGGAATCCCTGTAAGGATGACGGCCACGGTGGTCCTTCCGGGCAGCGTGGGGACTCCTGCAGTCCCCTGGCTGTCTTCTGCCCCCAGCAGCCTTGGGCCTTCCACCCCAGCTGCATCCCCAGGCACATGTGCGCGGGGTCCGCCCTTCAGGACGGGAAGGGGCAGCTCCACCCCAGCTCCAGGGGCGTTTCTCCGGGAACTGGGAGGTCCTCGGGGCCAGTCCTGAGGACAGAGGGCCTGACCTCGGCCGGCAGCTCAGTGGGACCCCAGCCCTCCAGCTATGGTGTCTGGGGAGGTGGGCGTGGGTGGGGGTGTCCCGTGGGGACCGGATCTGAGGAGGGTGGCCTGGGATGAGGTGGGGCTCACCCACCATCCCTCGACCACCTGGAGACCCCGTGTGCCGGGGCTGGGTTGGGGCATGGGACCTAGGGGACCCAGCCTGGGGGCTCTTGGTCGGCTGAGGCCTGACGCCCCCCGGGGACGCCTGTCTCTAGCCCTGGGCGTGCTGGAGTACCGGGTGCTGGGCACCAACTTCAGGGACTACGCTATAGTGTTCACGCAGCTGGAGGCCCAGGAGGAGGCCTTCAGCACGGTGGAGCTGTACAGTGAGTGCGTGGGGCTCCTCCTGCAGGGGTGTGGGCCTCCGCCCCCCTCGCACCAGCCTCATCCCAGCCAGAAACCACCCCCCGGCCCTGCGCCTGCCTCCCGGGTGCCCCCTCCCCACGCACAGCCCCTCCCTGCTCGGGTCCCAGCTGCAGGAGTGATCCCGCCTGGAGGGGGCGGGCGGGGGGCCGCATGTGGCGAAGAGCCTTGGGCTCAGAGGGCGAGGAGTCCCGCCTCTGCGGGTTCTTGGGGTGGCCCCCCCCGCCCTCAGTCCTGCCTGGCTCCCCTGCCTCCCCGGCAGGCCGGACGGCCCTAGCCAGTCAGGAGGCTCTGGGCCGCTTTGCCAAGTGGAGCCGGAGCCTGGGCTTCCTGCCGCAGCAGCAGGCCGAACTGCAGAGGGACTGTGAGTGTCTCCGGACGCCAGGGGGCTGCTTGCCGGCTTGGGGACCTTCCTGGCCTTGGGGAGTCAGGCTGAGCTCAGGGGGGCTTCAAGGGGTCACCTGCTCCCTGCCCAGCGTCAGGCCTGCGGGGTGGGCGGGGCAGGCGGTGTGTGGGGCCCCGGGCGCCAGTGGGTGAGGGGCCGGCCATCCTCACCGTGGCCCCTTTCCTCCCCAGTCACCTGCGCACACAAGGTCTTCCCGGTAAGTGGCCCCCCAAGCACCCCACCCCTCCATGTGGCAGGAGAGGCTGGGGGCCCCGGGCCCCTCTTGTCTGGAGGCTCCCCCAAGGGCGTGGCTTGGGGCCCTGGGGAGCCGATGCCTCTGTGGGCGAGTCCAGGGTGCCCATGCTCCTCTTGGTTTCCAGTGAACGCGGCAGCCCCCAGGGGCCCGGAGGAGGCTGGCCGGACGCTGCCCTCCTCGCCCAGCCACCCAGGGGCTGGGTGGGGGCCGCCTGCTCCCAGGGGCTCTTGCTGCGGATTCAAATAAAGCAGTTCCACAAACCCTCCCGTCGTGGTCTCTCGCGTCTGTCCACGCAGGGCCCTGGGCTGGAGACCACTGCTCCTCCCGGGGGTCACCCCGGGCCCTGGGCTGACAGGAGGCCCGTCCGCCTGAGCTGGAGCCAGACCCTGTGGTCTGGGGGACGTGTGGGCAGGGCGCTGGGCTAGGGCGCCCAGGGTGTGAGAGCTTGGCTTTTCCTGGGGCCTTGGGGCAGGGCGGGGGCCAGGGACCCCAGAGAGCCTGAGTCTGTCTGTCTTCCTGTGTCCAGAAGTCCTGGCAGGAGCAGGGGCCGTCGGGGAAGCCGGACCTGGAGCAGGGTGGGGGTCACCTCTTACTTGTGATGATATTGGGTGCACACATACACACAGACGTATGTGAGCACACACGTGTGCATAGAAACATGTACACACATGCATGTGTGCACACATGTCAGAACCTGCCAAGGGCGTCACGCAGGCAGCCCCAGTGTCAGCGCCAGCACTGTCCAAAGACCCCCGCTTCCTGTGTGCACGCCCCGTGGAGTGACTCAGTGTCCCGTCCAGGCTTTGTCCCCTCCCGGGGGGTGGGGGGCTAGGATAGGAGCACCACCAACCTCCCTGGCAGTTGCCACGGCTCCAGGAGACACTCGGTGACCCGAGGCCCAGAAGGTGACCTTGGGATCATCGAGGCCTCTGTCTTCTGGGGTGTCCCAAGCCGGCTCTGAGGGCCAAGGGTGGGGCTGGCCCTGCCTGCGGGTGGGAGGGCCCAAGACGCCTCCCCGTTGGCCCCCCAGGCCGGCTCACAGCTGCGGTCGGCTGACGCCCACGGCAGGGCTGGCAGGCTGGGCATTTAAGCGCGGCGTCTGGGCGGGCAGCTGAGGCTGGTGGTGAGGATGGAGCTGGGCTGGCGGCAGGCCCTGCTGGCCCTGCTGCTGGGGCTGGGCGGGGGCTCCCGGGCACAGGAGCAGCTCCCCCGAGAGTCCCATAACCTCAACTGGAGCAAGGTGAGCCCCGTGCCCCAGTCCCCTTGCTGGGCGCCGGGGCCAGGCTGGGTGGGGGCAGCGGGCAGAGGGCCTCTGAAGCCCGGGACAGGCTGGCAGGGGGCTTGGGCACTGGCGTCTGCTGGCCCCGAGGGCCTTTTCTGGGGACAGGCTGGGGCTTCAAAACTCAACTGCTGTCCATGATCTGGAGCTCCGAGACAGGTACTGCCGGGTCACCTGGAGGTGCCCATGGGAGGAGGGGAGGCGGAGTGAGCAGGCGGGCCCTGGAATAACGAGACCGCAGCAGGCAGCAGGTTCCGGTGGGGGCGGCCATGGGTACAGGCTGAGCAGAGGCGGGGGAGCCGGGCAGCGGGCTTCGTTGCGGGGGAGCCGGGCAGCGGGCTTCGTTGCAGGGGAGCCGGTGGGGTGGGGGCCAGCTGGTGGAGAAGGCCCCGAGGTCCGCATGGGCCGGACGCTCTGACCCTGCGCCCCGGGCCTTGCGCCATGCCGCCTCAGGTCCCAGACCAGCTGGGCGTCCGCCTCCACGGCCCGGGAGGCAGCGGGGCACCCAGGCCAGTCCTGGACATGGGCTGGGCCGCAGGCAGGCGTCACCGGTCCTGTGGGTCCTCGGAGACCGGGGCTGGGCGGGACCAGTGTGGCAGGCCCTGCACCCTCCCTGCAGTTCTCGGGCTTCTGGTACATCCTGGCCGTCGCCTCCGATGCCCAAGGGATGCTGCCGCGCGGAGGCCAGAGGAAGCTGGGCGCATCCGTGGTGCAGGTTCAGGAGGTGGGCCAGCTGAAGGTGGTGCTCACCTTGAACCGGTGCGTGGGCCAGGGTGGGGGGGCCCTGAGCCCAGGGAAAGGGAGGGGACTGGTGGGGGGACCAGACCCAGGGTCAGTCTGGAAATCCCACAAGGACTGTCCCCAAACCCCCATCACTTCCTGCTGTCAAACTCAAGTGACTGCTTTTTTGAGAAGTCCCCACAGCCCACGGGGTATGGGGGCCAGGGGTGTTGGAGCATTTCCCCTGGGCGGTGGGACCGGCCCAGATCCCAGCTGGAAAGTCCCCAGACGGCAGAGCCCCGAGTGGTCTCCCAGGCCCCTAGCTGACAGCCCGCTCCCCCCACCCAGGTCCCGGGGGTGCCAGACACACTCGCTAATCCTGCGGAGAGACAGGAAGAAGGCGGTGTTCAGGAACACCTGTGGGTACCCACGGCGCTGCAGGGGCTGGGGGAGGGTCGTCCAGGGCTGCCCGAGCCCCCAGGACCCTGGATGGGACCCCTGACCGCATGGCCCCCAGCAGTCCTCCCCGGAGAACATGTGCCGGTGGGGGACAGACGCCGGGTCACGCGGTCAGCCCACGGGCGCCCAGAGTTGGCTCAGCCGGCGTGCGCCTGGGGGGCGGGCCTGGGGGTGGGGGCCTCGCTGCCCTTCCAGATGGCCCCTCGGTGCGGGTGGTAGGGGCCCGGGGGCCTCTGGAAGGACCGCAGTGTTCAGGCAAGGGCGGCGACTCTGCGCGTCCTCACTCTCAGTGAGGGGCGTGGAGGGCTTCCGCGTGATGGTCCCCGACTACAGCGCCAGCGTGGTCTACCTGCGCCTGGGCCGGGCCGGCCGGACCACCAGGACCCTGCTCCTCATCAGTGAGTCCAGGGGCCGCAGCCGCGCGGGCCCTGCAGGGCAGCCCCCTCCCGAGCCTCTCTGGGGACCCCCACTCCCGGCTGACGCTGCCCGTCACCCACCAGCGGCTGCGGTCCTCTGACCCGGAGCCCGGGGGTGTTCTGGTGGGGGGTGGTGCTGGGGGCCGGGGCGCCCCTCGACCGGGGGCTCTGACGCTGCGGCTCTGGTCCACACCCCCCACCCCACAGGCAGACAGCCCACGTGCAGCTTCCTGAGCATGAAAAAGTTCGTCGACGCGTGTGAGGCCCTGGGGCTCACCAGCCGTGTGGCCATGCTCCCGAAAGACGGTGAGGTGTGGGCGGCACTGCTCTGGGGCCACCCCGAGCCGCCGGGGAGCTGGCCCCCGTGCGGGATGGAGGGACAGAGGGCGACAGGGCACTTTTAAAGGAAGTCACGGCCGCAGGCACGTGCCCATCCTGTCTCCCCAGGGCCCCCTGAGCACACGGGCGGCCAGGGCCGGATCCCCGCGGGGCAGCTGGGGGCCAGGGCCCGAGGCCCCAGGGGAGCTGCCCGGCAGACGCAGGCTCCCTTGGAGACGCCCAGCCCTCTCCTTCCCCCACAGCCTCCTGTGCGCACACCATCCTGCCGTGAGCCGGCTGCCCACCTGCTCCTCCCCCTGAGGCTCGGCTTGTGGTCCTCCCAGACCCCGGGAGCGAGTTCCAGATCGCAGGCTTCACACCCCGCTGCTTGTTGAGACGGGTCTGCGGACCCCAGGGCACTGATGGTGTGCGCCTCGGGCGGGGCTGGGCCCAGCAGGGTGGGGGTGGGGGTGCACGCTGACTGGGGGGTCCTGGGGCTGGGTCCTCTGGATGGCGCGGCAGGCAGCTGCTGCCAGCCCTCATCGGCCGGGAAATAGACGGCGATGGTCCAGCGTGATGTGCCGTGTGCCTTCTCTGCCACCGCCCTTCATGTTCCGTGACATCCAACACTGCCCAGGAAGCTGGGGAGAGAGCCCGGGGCAAAGAGGGAGACGTGACCTCTCACTGGGGAGGCCGATGCCGACACGGTCTCCTGGGTTTGGTTGTGGACCTGAGGACTGTCCAGAGGTGCCAAGTGCAAACCGTGGCAGGTCGGGGAGGAGGGGTCAGGGAGAGCTTCTTGGAGGGCGTGACGTTTGAGCTGAGAAAGTTATGGTGGCGCTGGAGTGGGGAGGGCCACCCTGGAAGAGGAAACAGCCTGAAGACCCCCAGAGCAGCGGCATCGGCGGGCGCGGGGCCACTTGGAAGGGGCGGAGGTAGACGGGCTGCCGGGGTCCTGGGAGAGATGGGAGCCAGAGTGGAGCTCAGGGTGGGGGACGGCCGTTAGAGTGACAGGGTTATTTGGGGATGGGGGTTGTCGGCGTGGACGAATGAGCCTGCCTACGGAGAAAAGAAACAGGACTGAATCGGTCAGCTACTACTGTGTAAAAACCACACACATGTATTTCTATTTATCATTATTTTGGCCGCTCCTCGACTTGCAGGATCTTAGTTCCCTGACCAGGGACTGGACCCAAGTCCAGGGCAAGTGAAAGCACCCGGGTCCTACCCACTGGACCGCCAGGGAACTCCCCCCACACATGTGTTAGCATCCCCCCAGGGCTCAGCTTGAGACTGGGGGCACAGGTGGGCCGAGCGGGGGGGCACAGGCGGGCCGAGCGGTGGAACTCCGCTGGGTGTGCTCTGCCGGCTCTGGGGGGGCGGGAGATGGGCTGATCTGGGCCAGCTCCGCCCTGGGGGCTCCAGGCGCTGGGCTAACCGCAGGGCGTCTCTCTCGTGGCCTCCATGAGGGTGCACGGGGTGGGGCAGCGACTAGGAGTCCTCTGAAGGCTCGGGCCCGCCCAGCGTCACTAGCCTCCGCCCTCCGTCACAGCCTGGCCCCACTCCCCACCGCAGCAGCTCACGTCGGGGGTCTTCCCTCCGCCTGCCTCTCCGCTCCAGGGGCTTCCGTCGCGCCCACATGGTCTGAGCCCTGCAGGGCCTCCTCTACACCATGCACCTCCTGGCCCAGCACTCGGCCTCCTGGGTGGACGGAGAGAGGAGGGCCGCCTGGGCGCTCCCATCCCGGAAGGAGGAAGGGTGGCCCCCTCTGGGGCTGGGGGTCCCCAGAGCGCTGGTTCTGAGGCCCCAGTGCCTTGTCCTTGGAGACACTTCTTTTTCACGTGCTCGCATGCTCGGCCACTCTGAAGGAGGCGTGGGCACACGCGCCGGGTGGGCACAGCCCTCAGCCCGTCTTCAGCCTGGAGGGTCAGCCCAAGGCCACCCGGCGCCAGGCTCGGCCGTGAGACGCTTGCAAGGCTTGGAGGGTTTTCTGTGCATTTACCTTCAGCGTTCTCCAGGTGCCCCCAGCCACACCCACGGTTCCCCAGGAAACCTGCCTCTCTCTAGGCCCGGCGGTCAGAGCTTGGGAGTGCTGTCTCAAACATCTGAGGGGCCCTTACGTGAACCTTGAAGGCCTCAGTACTTCCCGCGGGCCAACAACAGCGTTGCAGGATCTTGGTCTGCTCTGCACCCTGAGGCGCGGTCTCACCGTGGCGCTGGGATTGGGTTTTGTTCCCTGTGTTTTAATAGGGATTTGATCCCTAGATTTGATCCCTGGCCAGCCTCAACCCTCCCCTGGGGTTTCCTCTGGGATGAGAGCCCCTCAGGTCCTGGAGGACCCCTGCCCACCCCTCCCATGGGGGGCTGATTCCTCCGGGCGTCTCCACTAGGGCCCAGGTGCACGTGTGCACACACACACAACTCAGTCACTGACTGTCCTGCTGGGGGTCAGAGGGGTGTGCACACGGGGGGAGGGGAGAGGGGTGAGAAGGAGGAGGTTGTGGACGGAGATAATGACCCCTCAGCAACATGCCCAGCCCATAGCATGGGAAGGGGGTCGCCAGGGTGCCCGCCGGGCCATCCCTAGAGAGGCCTGGGGAAGACAGGGTCTGGGGTCCTGTGTCCACCACTCTGGGCTCCAGGAGCTAGGATGAGGCTCCTCCCCAGGAAAGGACTCCCTGTAGAGGGGGTGCTTAGACGGGGTGGTCCCCGAGGCCCCGTAAGATTGCAGGAGAGTCTGCTGGCCTTGCTCCCCCATCCGTGACCCACTGTGCTCTGAGTCCTTGGAAGAAGCTTCTGCTCCCTGAGGTCCTTCTGAGCAGGGGGCAGCCTGGGGACGTGGGGGACTGGAGACCCGGGGGTGCAGAAGGCGGCAGGGACTGGATCACCCATCGGGGACCAGGGATAAGACCCTCCTTGTTGG